AAGAAGAACCCGTCCAGAAGACCGATACAATTTTTTCCTTTTTATTTAATTTTAAATAATTATTCTGACTAGTCAAAATTCAACTGGCTGAAAACAGTGGTTTTGTAGTGGAGCGGGAGCACAGAGCTGCAGACCTTGCCAAGACTTGTTATCTGTCAACCTTGTGCTAGTTTATGACATCGAAATGACTGATTTTAATGAACTACAGAACTGGACAAATTCTTACTATTATCAAGTTTGTAATTTTAACAGAGGTGCCAACTCTCACACATTAAGCTTGAGATACTCGCTGTAATAGTGACTCAGGAAACAGCGATCGTTTCTAAATGGAAGCTGTTTTGTTATCACTTTCCCCAAGCTAAGACGCTAGCTAAAAGGATTCTAATGATGGGACGAGCCGAATTTGACCAGAAAAAGTGCAACCATGGATTTAACATCTACTCCAAACATTGTATCGGAGGTAAAAGACCAACACTGGACCACCTGGATCATATCTCAGAACTTTCTGTCAATAAACAGCTACAGAAAACCCAGCTTTCTGCTAGCTGTAGCTACTTAGCATCTATGCTAGCCTCTAATATTTTTTGTGTCTTAAAACAGTTAATGGGATTATCCAACATGAATAATTCATTTGTAAAATATGATGAGATTGACAACTATAAATCGTAGATTTATGAAGTTTTTTTTTCAAAGAAATGGTGCCCCAAAATTAATAATCAATAATATTGTGAATTTCAAAGTTTCAATAAATATTATTTCCATATTTTAGATGTATGTCCCTACAGCCTGAAGGATGTTTTTGACGTACAACCAACCCTTTGAGACCTATTAAAATGGTTAGCTGTAGTGGATAAGGCCAGCACTGATCCTCTAGCCCCTTTATTTCTGTGGTGGAAGGATTTGATTTGAGGGTAAGCAGATTTTTGTGGTGGTATCTGGGGCTTCCTTCAAGTCCAAGCAGCATCGCTCTGTAGAGCAACAAACTGAAACCCCCTTCAGTAGCCTGTGCAAAGAGTTTATGGCGACTCGTTCTAAAGAGGTGCTGCAGAATCGGGAGTCTAGGGACTGGAAGGTTGCCCAAGCTGGAATTGAGGGCAGGACAGACTGAAGGTGGAGGGAAAGCCATTGCTGTGAGCTGAGTGAAGCTGACCCCTCCCAAAAAATAAACCACAGAAAAATAAATGCAAATTGGATGAGTGGTTAGTTTTTCGTTTGTGCAGGTTTGTGCACTTGAAATTGTCATTTGTGCTGCTATGTTTTATATATATA